ACATTAACTCTGATTTCTATCCACAGATGCTGCCAGACCTGCTGAGCCTTTCCAGCAATTTCTGTTTTTGTTTGATTTTCAGCATCCACAGATCTTTCCGTTCTTAACCAAGAGAAAAATAGCTTAAGTAAATCACCAATAATGGGGATATTAATGGAACTGAAGAGTGACAAATCCCTAGGACCTGACGATTTTCACCCATTGGTGTTAAAAGATGCAGGAGGTCATACTGTTGATGGCCTAGCCATCGTTTTTGGGAGTTTCCTGAATTCATGAGTTGTACCTATGGATTGGAAAGTTGCTTACATCAGTCTTTAAAGGTGACAGGGAAGCCAGAGAATTATAGACTAGCGAGCCTGACATCTGTGGTGGGAAAATTGTTGGAGTCTATAATCAACAATAGGGTATCTAATCACCTCGAAAAAGTTCGGTTAATCAGAGAGAGTCAGCACAGATTCACGAAGGGTAGGTCACACTTGACAACCTTTAGAGTTTTTGAAGAGGTGACAAGGATGGTGAACAGAGCTAAGTCAATGGATATTGCTTACATGGACTTATAGAAAGCTCTGGTTAAAGTCCCATACAAGAGACTATTAGCTAAGGTGGAAGCCCACGGAATTGACAGCAAATTACTGACATGGATAGGAAATTGGCTGAATGGCAAGAAACAGTTGGAATACAAAAATACAAATTGGCAGGACGTGACTAATGGCACCCACAGGGATCTGTGTTGCGGCCTCAATTATTCACACTATTCATGAACAATCTGAATGATGGCATAAAAAGTCAAATATCCAAATTTGCTGAAGACAAAAGTCGGGCAGCATTGTAAATAATATTGATGACAGCATAAGATTACAATAGGATATTGACAAACCAGGTGAATGGTCAAAGCTGGGGCAGATGTAAGCAAGTGTGAGGTTATCTATTTCAGACCAAAAAAGGACAGATCACAGTATTTTTTTAGAATGCTCAAAGTTAAATACAATGATGTCCAACAAGATATGGGTTCAGGTGCACAGCTCTTTAAAATGCATGAACAGGTGCAGAAAATAGTCAAGGCGGCTAATGGAATGCTGGCCTCATATCTAAAGGGCTGCAGTATGGGGATGCAGATGTTATGCTGCAGTTAAACAAAACCCTAGTTAGATCCCACTTAGAGCACTGAGAGCAGATCTGGGTACCACATCTTAGGGGTTAAGTTATGAGGCGAGAATAAACAAATTAAGCCTTTATTCTCTCGAATTTAGAAGGTTAAGGGATAATCTAATTGATGTCCTCAGGCTATTAACAGGGAAAGACAGGATAGATAAAGATAAATTATTTCCATGATTGAAGATTCTAGAAGCAGGGGCTTAATCTATGAATTAGGGCCAGGCCATTCAGGAGAGATGTTAGAAAGCACTTCTACATGCAAAGAGTAGTGGAGGTTTCGAACTCTCTTCCTCAAATGGCTGTTGATGCTAAATAAAAACTGAAAAGGACTGCGGATGCTCTAAATCAGGAACAAAAACAGAAGTTGCTGGAAAAGCTCAGCAGGTCTGGCAGCATTTGGCTGTCAAAGCTAATTCAATTGTTCAACTTAAAATCTGCAGATGACAAATTTTTATTAAGCAAGTGTATCAAGGAATCTGGACACAAATCAAACATGATCTTATTAAACAGCGGAGCAGGCCTGAGGGGCTGAATGGCCTACTCCTATTCCTATGTTCCTAAGAAATGGTTGGAGGCACTAGATACCGCAAAGGCAACAATCTGTCTATTATAACAAAGACTTATGGTCCAAAACTTCTTGTATCTCTTGCCAAACTGTTACAACTACAACACTAGCATCTACCACAAAGTGTGGGAAACTGCCCAGGTAAATCCTGTACAAAAAGCAGGAAAAATCCAACCCGTCATTAATTCTCTAATGAGTCCGCTTTCAATCATCAGTAAAGTGGTGGAAGGGGTCACTGATGGTGCTATCAAGTAGCACTGCTCAGCAATAACCTGCTTGTGGACATTCAGTTTGTGTTTGCCAGGGCCACTGCATTCTTAACCTCATTACAGCCTTGGTCCAAATATGGACAAAAGAGCTGAATTCCAGAAGTGAGATGAGTGTGACTGCTCTTGACATCAAGGCCACATTTGACCACGTGTGGCATCAAGAAGCCCTGGAAAAACAGGATTCAATGGAAATCAGGGGCAAACTCTTCACTGGTTGGAGTCATACCTGGCACAAAAGATTTGAGATCTGTTATATCAGTTCCAGGACATTTTGCAGAAGTTCCTGAGGGTTGATGTTCAACAGCATTCCCATCACTGAATCTCCCACTGTCAACATTCTGGGGTTTACCACAAACCAGAAAAAGAATGAGGCCAGCCAAATACAAGACTTCAGGTGCAGGTCAAAGTTGGGAATTCTGTGACAAGTGACTAATCTGCAAGCTTGTGCACAAGACTCAAGTCAAGGGTGCAATGAATACTTCCCACTTGCCTAGATGAGTGCAGCTCCAATACTCAAGAAATTTGCACAATCCAGGACAAAGTAGCCAGATTGATTAGCAGCCTGTTCACCAGTCAGCATTCACTCCCTTCATCAGCGATGCAGTGGCAGCAATATGCACCAGAGAAGATGCATTGCAATAACTCAATGAGATCCTTTTCAGCATCTTTCATAACCTGAAGCCTCAATCACAAAGACACAGACAGCAGATGCATAGAAACATTCTCCCCTCCAAGTCTCATACCATCCTGACTTAAACTATATCAATGAGATAGCAAGAACTGCTGATGCTGGAGGCAGAGATAACAGTGTGGGGCCGGAGGAACACAGCAGGCCTGGCAGCATCAGAGGAGCAGGAAAGCTGATGTTTCGGTCAGGACCCTTCTTCAGAGATTTTGAAAAAGGGCTGAGCCGAAACATCAGCTTTCCTGTTCCTCTGATGCTGCCTGGCCTGCTGCATTACTCCAGCTCCACACTGTTATCTTAAACTATATCAACATTTCTTTACCATCCCGGAGTCAAAATCCTAGAACTCTATCCCTAACAGAACTGTGAGTGGCATGTAAGGCCACTGCAGTGGTTCAAGAAGGGGCTTCACCAACAACCTCTCAAGGGGCATCAAGGGCAGTGACCTGGCCACTAGTGCCCACATCCTGAGATTAAATAATAAAAAAAGATTGTCTCAAACAGAGTGCCAACTTGCCAACTGTTCTGTTCAACTGCACAAGTTGTTCAATCCCAAATTGTCCAATACCTCATTGACAACACTCATCTTGCCTAACACAATAAATTACACAAGAAAGGACTGAAGAGGAAAGGGGAGGTAGCGAAGGGAAAAGAAAGACCACCACAATACCTGCTAGTGCCAGCACCGGCATTATTTGAAGGCACTCCCATATTAAAGACGCTGCTGTACTCGGCTCCTGTATACTGGCTCGAAGAGACTGTGGGTTGGCTGCTCGTTGCTGAGGTGAAGCTGAAGCCGGACATCTGGCCACCTGCTGCTTAGAAACATCAGTGAACAAGGAAACAAAGTTACTGCACTGCTCCTTTACCCTTCCTCACTTGGTGGGGGGCATCACCAAAGTGATGACTCCTCTTCGCTTGCTGACGAGAAAACCCCAAAGGCCAGGCTTGGGCCCAGGCAACCCACGAGAGCGCCTCCGGAGCTACAAATGGGATCAGGCTGACTTTCTCCACCATCCCTTACCCTTGGTGCTGAGGAGCATTGCCATGCCACAAGGCTGTTGAACAACATGCCTGGGGACCTACCTGTATTTACATAATGTCTTTCACAAAGTAAAATGCCTCAGGTAACTAAGCAGCACGAAAAGAGGAGTAAGGCAACATGCTGGAGGTATCAAGACTAGAGACCACCGATGTGGAGTTGAAAGTTCATCTTAAAAGAGACAGTTTTAGAAGAGACCTGCAAAGCTTGACCCAGGCAACCAGTGCCACAGTGACAGAGTTCAGGACTGACAAAAAGACCAGAACTGGAGGCTTGCAAGGCTACAATAGATAAGGGAGGGAAGAAGCAAATAGAGATGTGAATAAGAATTTTTTTTAAAATCGATGCATTGCTGGGCCAGTAAGGTGAATGGAGGATGCTGATGGCAGGGAAGGATAGATGAAGGGGACCTTGATGCTCATGTGTAAATAAGCATTAGAGTTTCAGATGGGCAGAAGTTTATGGTGGGGGGCAGAAAAGTGCTTTGGAATATTCAAATCCAGAGGAAACAAGGGGCAGCATGGTGGCTCAGTAGTTAGCAGCGCTGCCTCACAGCACAAGGGACCCGAGTTCGATTCCACCCACGGGCGACTGTGTTGCACTTGCATTCTCCCATGTCTGTGTGGGTTTCCTCCGGGTGCTCTGGGTTCCTCCCACAGTCCAAAGACGTGCAGTTTAGGTGGGTTGGCCATGCTAAATTGCCCAGTGTCCGGGGATGTGGAGGCTAGGTGGACCACCCATGGGAAATGCAGGGTTACAGGGACAGGGTAGGGAGGGGGGTCTGGGTGGGATGCTCTTCAGAGGGTCAGTGTGGACTCGATGGGCCAAATGGCCAGCTTCCAAACTATAGGGATTATATGATCCTAAGGGGAGAGATGAGGATTTCAGCAGCTAACTTGAGGCAGCAAGGAGTTATGAATGATATAACACCACACTTGATGAACTAAGCCACCAAGTGAGGCCTAGAAAAGTTGCTGTGACCTGACCTTAGGCAAGGCTGGTAAAATAACAGACAGTATGACTCAGCATTTCCACTGGAAAACTTGGTGAGGCTGTGATGCACATTGCTACCGAACCTAGAAAAAAAAGCTGCAGGAATGAAGTGAAACCGGAGTTTACACAATTACAGCCAAACATCTGAAATATGATGCCACCCTTTCGGGAGTGGTGGTGATGTGTTTTACTGTGGGTTCAAAGCATTTAATATAGGTTCAAAACATTTAATGCATATTAAATTTTTTAAAAATCAGCTAACACAACAGATTTGATTCAATAGGTTTTTCACATTTTAACATTCCAGACAAAAGTATTATTTCTTTAAAACAATATTCTCCTGGGCCATTTCAGGACTCCACACAATAGAAGTGAATGAGATGGGGTTCGGATCCATTGGGATTGTGTACAACAGGAGTGAACAAATCTGAATGTGGTCTGTGGGATCACTGTAAGAGTGGGCAATCACCAGTTGTCCAAATGTAGCAGGGCTGGAGGATCAGAGAGCGGCAGAAGTCAAAAGCGTGACAAATACAGTCTAAGAAGCCACATTTCAGGTCCCAAGCCACAATAGCAACTAGAAATGTGTGTTCTGACAGGGGTACCCGTCACTTCGGCATTACTTAGTGGCATAGGCCTGAAGCTTTGGCAACTGCACAAATTTTTCTTTATCTTTACTTGTGAGAGATGGCCATCACTGGCTGGCAAGCATTTATTGCCCATCTGTAGATGCCTTTGAGAAGGGGACAGCAAGCTGCCTTCCTGAACCGCCGTTCAATGGGTAGACCTGCAGTGCCCTTAGGGAGGGCATCGCCAATGATTGCACAATGTTCAGCACCATTTGTGACACCACAGAACTGAAGCAGTCCATGTTCAAATGCAACAAGATCTAGACAACATCCACACTTGGGCTGACAAATGGTAAGTAACATTCAAACCACATAAATGCCAGGCTATGACCATCACTGGTAAGAGACATTCTAGCCACCGCCCTTTGATATTCAATGGTACTACCATCATTGAATCTCCCCCCAACATCTTCAGGATTACCACTGACCATAAACTCAACTGGACACATATATAAATACAGTGGTTACAAGACGAGGGCAGAGGCTAGGAATATTGCGGCAAGTAACTCAACTCCTGACTCCCAAAGCCTGTTCACCATCTACAAGGCAGAAGTCAGAGTGTGATGGAATACTACCCACTTGCCTGGATGAGCGCAGTTCCGATGAACTCAAGATGCTGGGTACCATTTCGGTCAAAGCAGCCCGCTTGATTCGCACCAGATCCAAAAATACCCATTCCATCCACTACTCACTAACAGCAGTGTGTACCATCTGCAAGATGCAGTGCAGAAATTCTCCAAATATCCTTAGACAGCACCACCCAAACACATGACCACTTCCATCTAGAGGACGGAGCAGCAGATACATGAGAACACGACCCCTTGCCACTCCCACACCTTTCATGGTCATTTTATTGTAGCACCAGGCCACAAAGACAGATACAAAGAACAAAGAGCAAAGAACAATACAGCACAGGAACAGGCCATTTTGCCATCCATGCCTGCGCTGGTACATTTTGCCGTTCCATACCAAAACAGTATCCCTCTATTCCCTTCCTATTCATGTACTCTTCCGGGTGCTTCTTGAATACTGCCATCCTGTCTGCTTCCACCACCTCTTCTGGCAGCATGTTCTAGGCACTCACCAGCCTTTGTGAGAAAAACTTGCCTTGCACATCTCTTTTAAACTTCACCCCCGCACGTTGTATCAGTGTCCCTTAGTAATTGACCCCTCCACCCTGGGCAAATGCCTCATACTTTCTGCTCTACCCATGTCATTCATAATCTTATAAACTTCTATCAGGTTGCCCCTCAACAACCTGCGTTCCAGGGAAAACAAACTCAGTCTATCCAAACAAAAACAGAAGTTGCTGGAAAAGCTCAGCAGGTCTGGCAGCATCTGTGAAGAGAAATCAGAGTTAACATTTTGGGTCCAGTGACCCTTCCCCAGTCTATCCAACCTTCCTTCATAGCTAAAATCCCCCAAACCAGGCAACCTTTTCTGTAATCTCCCCAAAGCATCCACATCCTTCTGGTAGTGTGGTGACCAGAACTGTATGCAATATTCCAAGTGTGGCCTAACTAAAGTTCTATAAAGCTGCAGCATAACTTGCCTACCCTTATACTCCATGCCCCTTCCAATGAAGGCAAGCATACCTTTTTTACTACCTTATCTAGCTGCGCTGCCATCTTCAGCGATCTGTGGATCTGAACACCCAGATCCCTCTGCATTTCAATACGCCTAAGGGTTCTGCCATTCACTGTATAACTTCCACCCATACTTGACCTTTCAAAATGCATCACCTCACATTTGTCCAGATTAAACTCCATCTGCCATTTTTCTGCCCATGCATCCAACTTACCCATATCCTGCTGTACCCTCTGACAAGCCTCCTCACTATTGGCAACTCCAGCAATCTTTGTATCATCCGCAAACTTACTCATTAGACCAGCCATGTTTTCCTCCAAATCATTTATGTAGACCATGAACAGCAGAGGTCCCAGCTCTGATCCCTGTGGAACACCAGTAGTCACAACCTTCCATTCCAAAAAGCATCCTTCCACTGCTATCCTCTGTCTCCTATGACTCAGCTCGTTTTGTATACATCTTGCCAGCTCATCCCTGATACCATGTGACTTCATTTTTTGTACCAGTCTGCCATGAGGGACTTTGTCAGAGGCTTTACTGAAATCCATGTTGACAACATCACCCACTTTTCCTTCATCAATCATCTGCGTCACCTCCTCAAAAAACCTGATCATTTAAGAGCTCACCTACCTCTTCTGGCTCCACACATGGATTCACTCCTTTGTCCTTAAGTGGGCCAACCCATTCTCTGGCTGCCGTTTGAAATACGCCCACATTTCCGATGTGGATTTACCCTCAAACAGCCATCTCAAATTAACATTCTCCAGTTCTTGCCGAATATTGTTGTAGTTTGCATTCCCACAGTTTAACACCTTCACCCAAGGGTTGCTGTTATCCCTATCCATGAGTACCTTAAAACTCACAGTATTATGGTCACTACTCCCAAAATGCTTCCCCACCGAAACTTCACTCACCTGGCTGGACTCATTTCCCAAAACCAGGTCCAGTATAACCCCTTCCTTTGTTGGACTGTTTACATACTGTGTCACGAAACCCTCCTGAATGGTCCTTACAAATTCTGCCTCATCCATGCCCTTGGCACAAAGTGGGTCCCAAGTCAACTTAGGGGAAGTTTTACATCCACAGCAACCCTGCTTGTTTTTATATCCTTCCATAATCTGTCTACATTTTCTCTCCTCTATCTCCTGCTGGCTGTTGGGAGGCCTGTAGTATACCCCCAGCATTGTGATTTCACTTTTCCTATTTCCGTGTTCTGTCCATATTGCCTCGCTGTATGAGTCCTCTGCTATATCCTCCCTCAGTATAGTTGAGAGATTCTCCTTTACCGGTAACGTAACTCCCCCACCCCTTTTACATCCCCTTCTATTACACCTGAAATATCTATATCCTGGGACATGCAGCTGCCAGTCCTGTCCCTCTTTCAGCCAAGTCTCTGTAATTGCAATAACGTCATAGTTACAAGTACTAACCAAAGCTTTAAGTTCATCTACTTTGCCTATTATACTTCTTGTATTGAAACACATGCACTTCAGACCACCTGCCCTGCTCTTTTCAGCAGTGTTTCCTTGTCTGTTCTTGTTCTTAGTCATGTTTGCCTTGGTTT